AATCTTTGAGAAAGGGATCTAGTTCCAGGCACATAGAGACATTAAAGTTCCTTTCTCATCAGAAAAATAAAAGAGATTGTTTGAGATAAAAAGGAGACGTCTGAATCTCCCTTTGATCACACCCAAAAGATAGAATGGTGACTCTATCTAGACCAGGGTGGGCAATTGTCTTCCATCATGAAACATACAACCAATGCTTCCTGCTTGGTGTGCCTCACAGCCTCTGTTGTGCCTCTGGGCCCTCCCTTCTGGTGCGCAGCCAGTTCCAGGCAGGGCATAGAGAGATGGGCATGGCTGGGGTCCAATGGAGTTGTACTTATGAAAGTAGATGACAGGCTGCTTTGGGACTGTCACCTTCAGACCCCAGACCTGAGTACTGTTTACCTAAAAAGTCTCTGTGCAGATTTATGGGCTTTGTCTATTTCCATTCGCTTACCTGTGGTCATTTTTGGTTTTGTCCTTTTTCTCTCTATGGCCAATGCACCCAGTCATGGATCAATAAACAATGATTCCCTGGAGCCCACTGAATTTCAAATACAGTGACCATGAGAAGAAAAAGGACAGGTGACTAAGCCCAGACACCCAGGAAAGCTGTTGGAGAACTAGGCTTTCCCTTCCACCAACCATCTCTTTACTTAATGCACTGGCCCATTTTGCCCTCTCTGAAATCAACTGAACTTGAAATGGCACCTTTAGAATATTTAAATTTTTTTTGCCCTACATTCTACATTCATCCATGGATGGTAGAAAGTTTTCAAATTAAGTGTCACTGCTCAAAGTCAAAAATTAATTAATTAGTCAGTGGCCAGACATGTGCAGTGCCCTGAATGCTTATCAGTCTGCCTCAAAAGCTTTGCTAATTAGCCAGAAGTCAGAGTAGAACCAGGCAGATCAAAGAGCCCAGTCTCTCTCCCTTAGAACTTCTATCACTTTGGTCCTGGAATTCTAATCAATTCACTGTTTTAGTACATTCTAAGGATTGGCTCTGGTTTCATTCTGGGTACACACAGAGTACAACTGGGGATTGATCATAAGTATTTCTAGTTCGCAAGTACCTCTACAAGGGCACGTCTACTAATAGGAAAGACTTCAATGCTTCCTCTAAGCACAGTCAAAAGGCAGGTACTTGAAACAGTTTGCTCAACTTTCCCAAGTGCAATGAAAATCTTCACTCTTGAAATTGTACTTCTCAAATAGCTGCTCAGCATCTTCATTTGAGCAGGCAAGAGTGGTTAGCATTTATTTAGCTTGACAGGCACTTTGTTAGGTAAAGTTTTATTTCACCCATCAGCAATAGCACTTTTAAAAAACTTTGTCGGTATATAATCTACATGCCATAAAATCTACCCATTTTAAGTGTATAAGTTAATGATTTTTGGTAAATATGCTGTTACACAGCCATCTCTAAAGCCCATTTATAGAATATTTTAACCACTTCAGTGAGATCTCTTATGCCCACTTACAGCTAATCTCTATCCCATTCCTAACTCCTGGCAGCCACTAATCAATCTGCTTTTCATCTCTATGGATTTTCCTTTTGGCCTTTCACATAAGTGAGATCATAGAATGTGTGATCTTTTGTGCCTCAATTTGTTCACTTAGCATAATGTATGTGAGGTTCATGCATGTAGTAACATGTATTAGTGCTTTATTCTTTTTTTATTATTAGATGACAAAAATGTTGAAAGGATGTACCACACTTTATCCATTCACTAATTGATAGACACTAATGTATATTTTCTTTCTAGTAGTTGGAGTTGCTAGGTTCTGCAGGAAATTTGCCATTTGTGGAAAACTGTTAAACTTTTTTCTAAAGCAGATGTAACACTTCCACATTCCCAACAGCTAAGTCTGAGCGTCCCTATTCCCCTGTAGCTTCACTAGCACTTATTATTGTTTGGCTTTTTAATCATGGTCATCCTAGTGGGTGTGGTACCTTGTTTTGTTTGCATTTCTCTGATGGTCTGATTGTTGCTTGATGACATAGAACGGCCAATATTATAATCTGTCATTACAAGAACATTAGGACTATCAGATGCTTTCCAAGTCAAGGAGTTCTCTGGCTATGTAAATGTGAGAGATATTATAAATTATTTTTACCCCTATTCATAACTTACTGTGTTGAGATAGCTGATAAATTCTTTAACAAAGAAAACCTGTCTGGATTTATTGAATTCAGCACTTCCCAGATTTATTTGAAAATGGAAATTTTGTTCCTGGGATATAATAAGTACATTGTGGAAAGTGGTTACATTGCCCATTTCTCAGCATCTGTCTGGCAGAAGAAAGTGAGAAAAGGTACAGTTAGTATCTCCCATACAGTGATTATTGTGCCATAGGAAGATGCCTTGGTGGGATGGGGACCAAGAGCCTTTTATCTTCCTCGAGGTTCATTTCATTTTCCCATGTTACTCTCTAACCTGCAAAATATAGTATTTAAGGAAGGGAATGGGGAGATCAGGCTTGTGTCATGGAATGGAAAGTTTGTGTTAGCTTTGTTTTGGTAAAGGGGTGAGGTGAGCTGAACAGGGAAAGGAGAGCATATCACAACTTTTGCAGGACTCGTTAGGTTCTTTGAATGGGCTAAATAGTGCAACCCCCCAAAAAGATGTGTTTATCTAGACCATGTGAGTCTTCCTCTATGCAAAAAGCATGTATTTGGATCTTGAGAGACCACTGTCTTGAATTCTTCAGGTAGGTTTTAAATTAATGATACACACCTATATAAGAGGTAGAAGAAGAAGAGATGGAGGCAGAGATAAGTATTATGCAGCTACCAGCCAACAAAGGAAAAAAAGATCAATTCTTAAAGCTATTAGAGGTGGTGTGGTTTTGCAAATACTTTGATTTTGGACTTCTGACTTTCAGAACTGTGTGAGAATAAATTTGTTTTAGGTGTAGTTTGTGGTCATTTGTTATAGCAATCCTATGAAATAGCATATATTTGATGATGTAGGGATGAAAGATATTTATTGGAATAAACATCAAATTCAAGTCTTTTTTTTCCTGCACACCCTTAGTATTGAAGCAGGATGAAAATGCAGATATCATTGGAAAGATCTGAGAGTTTACAGATCAAAATACAATCTAATTATCTTGAATGGAATAACAAGAGAGGGGCATGTCAGGGATGGGAAGAGGCAGGAAGAAAACGGCAAGAAATTAAAGAGGAAACAAAATATAGGGAAAGATCAGCCAATATATTCTTAGGACAAAACCTAATGTCCTAAGAATATATTGGAAGTCCTCATTCACATGGATTGAACAACAAAGATCACCAGAGCTGGTGTCCAGTGACAAAGGTGTCATGTCTCCGAACCAGCTTAGTCCCTGCCCAGGCTCAGGCTTCCCTGGGAAACTCAGAAGTTGGACATATAAACTGCTCACTTATCAGCTTTTCTAAAGCTACATAATGGCATTTGTGCAAAGGAGGAGGAGTAAGAGTTGGAGGTGGTGGTGTTGTGGATGGTAGATACAGTTACAGGGTGATCATTTTGACTCAATAGTAAATGTGTCATGTCCTGTTCTTAAAGATTTTCAATCAAAGCTCTAATCACTCCTAAAGAAGATTATAATAATATTTGACATTTGTTTATCATAATTCCAGCCACAAGTACTTAACACACAACACTTTATTATTTTCTCTACCATAACACTGTGGGGCGGGTATCACTGGGTTCCCCTCTGATTTTTAAGATAAGAAAATGGGGGTTCATAGAAGTGAATTGACTCATCCAAGGTGCCACAGCTAACATGTGAGGGAATCAAAATTCAAACTCGGTTACTCTGAGCCCATTGTCAACATACGTAGCTACGGTGGGCTGTGACACGAAGGACTCCTGGGTTCTTTGAGAAGAAGGAGGCAGTGTTTATTCTACTTCCAGAATTTCTTATGCTAGGCCAGAAGGTCTGACAATGCAACTTTTCAGCCATTCTGTTCCATGACTTGGGTGCTTTGACTTGTATTAGGTGTGGATGCCTGCGGCAGGGTGACGGTTCTTGGTGTACTATGGCCAAGAAGTAGTGTCTGGGGTAGAAAAAGCAGGTGATCTTGAAATCTAGTCCTCACTCCCAAGGTGACTTAATCCCTTTTCCTCATTGTCACTACTATTGTAGTTACTCTTATTATTAGTTCATGCTTATGACATATAATACTTACATTAATTAGGGTTATTGGGTTCCTGTACATGGTATATCTTAATTCTTCTTACTGCCCCTTCTCTTGATTTCCTGGGCCCCTTCCAACTTGTAAGAGATATATCCCTTTGTTTCCCTCTACCTAGTCTTAATTTTGCTCTTGGGCTAATTTGCCTCACTTAAATGAGACATACCATACAGTATTTAAGCCTATGTGTCTGATTTATTTGACTCACTACCATATTTTACAGGTGTATCTATTTTCCTCCAATAGCCTGAAATTTATCCTTTGTACAGCTGAATTGTATTGTATTATGTATAAATACCACCTTTATCCATTGTCTGTGGTTGGGCCTACAGGCTGCTTTCAGGAGTTAGATATTATGAATGGTGGTGCTCTAAAAATTGGTATGCAAGCATTAGCATAATATGATGCTTCTAGATCTTTGGGCAAGGTACCTAGAAGGAGAATAGCTGGGTCATATGGAATTTCTAATTTTAGCTCTTTGAGAAATCTCCATAATCATTTCCATAATAGTTGTACTAGTTTACATTCCCACCAGCAATGCAGAAGGCTCCTTTTTACCACAGCCACATCAGCATTTGTTGTTCTTTGATTTCCTGATGATCATCATTCTTTCCTGTATAAGATGAAATCTCAGAGTTGCTTGAATTTGCATTTCTATAATGGCTGGAGATGTTGAACATTTTTTCATATGTGTCTTAGCCATTTGTACCTCTCTTCTGAGAAATGTCTGTTCATTTCGCTTGCTCATTTCTTGATTGGGTCTTTTATGTTAAGGTGATCTAATTTTGGGGGGGTATTCTTCATAATTCTGGACTTTAGTCCTATTTCTGGGGAATATCACCTTTCTTATTCATCAAGAATAATGCTCTTATATATAATCTATAGAGATGGTATGAGTTAAGCACATACATACACATATAAAAGCTCTATATAAATCATGTTAAAAACTCTATATGCATATATGTATATATAGTTATATGTAATAAGTGGCTGAATTCCATGCATCATTGTTGGCACACAGTAGACATTAAATGGATCATCTTTATGTTACTACTATTACCCTTTTTATTATTATTCAAACAGGTTTATACTATGAATATTTGTTCCTTAAAAGTACACTTAGCTAAAATTATCCACTCAAATCAACACAACAACAGCATAGAGGGGAGAAATGAGGACTTTTTGAAGCTTGCTAGCTTGTTAGTGTAACGCATTAGTATTGGGGTTTTAATCTGGCTGAACAAATTGAAAATGGACTAAACATTTGCAGCCACATGGATACAATCAATCCTGCATGCCTCGAAATAGGTGGATTTTATCGATGACTTTAAAGCATGACTTAGAGGAAAAATTGCCCATTAGGGTGACTTCCTTCTCTTCAGTGAGACACCGCCCTGGCTCAGAAGGGCAGGACTCTTGACCATTGAATCCTGTTTCAAGGCTTTTAGTGATAGTGATGAGAGGAGGTGGGAGGCAGGTCAGACAAACAGGCGGGTGTGATGGAATCAAATTGTAAATAACTCCGTAAACCTTGGAGAATGGGTTAGGTGGCATTTAAAATAATAAGCGAGTCCTCTCTGAGCAGTCACTCCTAACCTTTTGGGAAATTACACTGACCTGCATCTTGGCAAAGGGCATTTATCAAAAGGAGTGCTGGTTGTACTTGCAGAACCTGTGGTGCAAACGGAGTCTGGGTGGATCGCTTGACGTGTGGAAGGACTTGGAGACCAGGGGTGAGCCTGTGAGGGTTTTGAATTGATTCATGATCTGAAAGTTATATTTTTAGAATGGTACTCAATGGAGGGAGCAAGCTCAGACATCACAGCTTTGTGAGACTAGAGACCCTGTGTTACCCAGCCTTGTATTAATCCCCTGATCTCTTTCTGCACAAGGAGGCAAAAGTCATAACATGTACACGTTATCATTGAAAGTTTTTGGAGAAGTTCTTTGTTTTCATTTTTTTAACTTTAAGTTGGCCAACTATGTAGAGCTGAAATAAAACATGTCCCTTCTCATCTGTCAGAAGCAGTTTTGTGACTCTGGACACAGGGAACTCATTTAATGCAAATCCCAGTTGGAAGGAGCTTTGTGGGCATGCCAGCTTGGAATCCATTAGGAGATATTAACATTAATTTGGGCGGGGGCACACTTGCTTTCTTTTAAGAAAATAAAATGGAGAGTGTCAGAATGTATCATACAGTATATGCAAAAATCCTGATTTATAGAGCACAGCAGATAAAAAGGCAATGGTAGAGGCGTACCTCAGAGCAAGATCTAAAAACATAAGTAAAGGAAATTTGAAGGGCTGTTTCCATCTGGCCATCCTTTTGTTTTAACTCACCAATGCAACTGTGCTTCCTCAGTGAAGAGCTGTGTAGTCTGTATGATCAAGGAAAACCACCTTGGCTAAGCCAGATCTGTTAGCTCTATGAGAAGAGAGTGTGCATGAGAAGACTATCTAGCAAGAAGGGCCTGAGAAATGGTTCATGACACCCCTTATGGTACCCAAAACTATGGAAGACATTTGTGAAAATTTAGCATGCCATTTTGTTTAAAACAAGAGGGAAACGTGTGAGATGATAGAGACTTACCTGTTTATCAGCTGAAAGGTCATAACACCCATGGCCAGGTCACAGAAGCTGTTTAGAAGTCAAGCACAGAACAAACTAGATTTCTTCATCTGGTATTGCTCTTTCCTGCTCAGGTCCAGATGTGAATAAAAGAAGGACAGTCCACTCTCAGTGTTGCTTGGCCATTGTTGGCTGGCTGAAGCCCTTTCTCTCTTCAACAGTGATGGGCACACAGCCTTCTAAGATGCAATTATTTCTCTCCCCTGCCTTCACATTTTATAAAGGCTCAGAGAGGTTAAGTGTCTGGAAACAGAGACTTGAACGTTGTCAGAAGCAATTTCTCTCGCTCTCTCATCTTTGGCTCTTGCTGCATATTAGCATCAAGCTTTATGCAGCTCTCCTGATGCATACAAGCTGCCTTTCTCAGGTTGAAAATGCAGGTCCCATTGCATCTCATTTTTTCCCCATTATGCAATTGTTTCTACCTGGAAAGATTGTTCTGATTTTCTCTCTCCTGATTCCAGAATCCTTAAAGAAAGGAACTCCTTGGTTTGGCACACTTCAGCAGTTTTGTCTGGAATGTTGAACATAATGCAAAGCCATCACAGTTCTATCAGGAACCACAGTAGAGTTGGGAGAGGAGCAATTCCTTGAGTAAGAACAGGGCTTGGGAGATGTTCTGGGTGGAAAACAAAACAAAACAATGCAACCCCAGCCATTTTCACTAAGAACTTGTGAATATTTGTGCCTTCATTTCTCAAGACGTGGTACCTGTTCATTCATCTGTCAAATAGTTTATTTATTCTTTCAACCATTGTAATGATCATCTGGAAGGTACCTGACATGCTTTAACATGTTTCTTGGTTCCAAACCATTGAATCAAATTAGATTAAGGTGAGAAAAGGAAGGAGGATGGGACTGACAGAAGAAATACAACATCTTTGCTCTAAGTGTCTGATATTACATATTATAGCTGTTAATCTAGCTCCCTGTATGAGAGTATTTCATCAGGGCAGAATTTTAACATATTGATTCTCATAAAAACCAAAGTATAAGCAGTATGCATAGTGAAAAGGCTAAGAATACTAAATCTGAGGTCAGAACTCCTGGATTTAAATCTTGGCTTCAGGGACTTTCTAGTTTCCTGACCTTGGAAAAGTTTCTTAGATTCTGAACTCTTAAGTTTCCTTCTCTATAAAATGAGGGAGTATTGATAGTTCTTGCCTAATTGGGTATGCAAATCCTAAATTCGTAAAATAGGATGGTGCCTTGGTACTTAGTCATTGCTCAATAGACATTGAGCTCTGATACCCTATTATTCTTTGAAGGAAAAATATGATAACTCTGATTGGAAGAAAATGTTCGGTTTTGGGGCTAAGGCAGAGCACCTTTTTCCTCCCTCTTGCAAAGGGATACAACTTAAGCCACATTCAGAGTCAAGGGTACACGTATAAGCTCACATCATCACACAAAATGCAGTTTTCTTGGCTGCCCCTTTACCTGGAGGGTAAAAGGCAATGAAGCAATCAAACTCCAAATAAAAACTGTAGCAGAATTTTCCCTTTTTCCTCAGGGAATCTTTCAGTTGTGGCATTGCATGCAGTTTCTGCACAGGAGGTATTGATAATATGCCATATTTCATTATAGTCAGCATTCTATTTTGTAAAGAAAGAGAGAGAAGAGCTACTAATGCCCGGGAGTGCATGGACTCTGTTGTTTGAATGGAAATATTCCAGGTAGAAATGGTACCTGTGGTTAAAGCTGGATTCTGTAGCCATGAAGGAGACGTCAGCATGGCTAATCTTAATGAAACCTTTCTGCACTAATCAGCTAGAACATAGCATTGTCATTGGTTGTTAAATTGCCATCAAGTATAGACACTGTTAGGGCATTTTCCAAACTTTAAAGTGCTTATGAGTCACCTGAGAATCTCTGTAGAATTCAGTTTCTGATTCTGAGATCTGGGAGACAATCTGGGATGCTGCTTTTCTAACAGGTGCACAGATGATGATGAGGCTGCTGCTGATCTGTGGCCACATTTTGAGCAACAGGGATGTAGCACTTCCCTGGTCTTTCCGGCTTATTTAAAAACTGTCTACTTACTCTGACACTGCTCTCTCATGTTAACCACCTTGTAGAATTGATTCTTTCTTTATTTATATATTCAATAAATATTTATTGAGTACCAACTCTGCTCCTGAATTGTTCTAATGCATGAGTTCATTTCAAACCAATGTTTTTCAGCCTTGGCACTATTGACACTTGGGGCTGGGAAATTCTGTTACAGGAAGTTGTCCTGTGCATGGCAGGATGTTTAGCAGCATCCTTGACCTCTACTAACTAGGAGTCAGTAACACCTCCCTCCAAAGTTGTGATAACCAGAACATCTCTGGACATTGTCTAGTTCTCCTCACGAACAGTATCACCCTAGACAGAAGCACTGGATCAATTCAACTGTGACAACCAGAAACCACTATCATATAAAGTGTGTGTTTCTCCAGACAGGGCTTGCATGTGTAATATACTTCCATATGCATGATCTTGTCTGAGTCTTGTCAGCATACAGAGTCTGGCAAACAGAGGAGTGGACTTCCATAGTAGGCCTGAAACTTGAGCTCAGGTCTCCTGGGGCTAAGTCCTGTGCTCCATCCACTACACTGCAGCCTTCTCTGCCTCTGGCTACTTGTCTTTGGGTTACAGAAGCTGCTGACCTTCCTTGGTACTGTCTTTCTCTCAAGATCATAATGTTAACAGCCTAATAAAGAAACATTTTTCATTTAAAGAGGTAGAATAGTTCAGTGATTAACAGCTCTCTGGTCCCACCACTAGTTATTAGTTAACTCTTGGTATCTCTTCTTACTCATGTATGGAATGGGGCTAGCACTGTGTACCCTGAAGTCTTGGTTGAAGTTGTTGCCAAGAGAAAGAAGAGGGCCTGTGGAATTTATTAGACTACTTGCTGTTTCCTTTGTGTCACCACTTTTGGTTCTTTGTCATTACTTAAGCATTCATGGTGAGCAGTTCCTGCTAGTTATTTCTCTTCTAAGATTCCCATGGATGATCTCCCATACAAAGCAAATGGTTTCTTTTTATTGAGTGCACAGCCCTCTAAAAGCTCCCAAAGGAGGGTCTCAGTTACAGCATGACTAAGAATACAGCTAGGTCCAACGATGAGGAGACCCTCTGTAATACTGATATAATAAGAAATATGTGTCTGGTCCTTTGTCTCTGGTCACTAGTGAAAAGCTCCTGAAACCCTTATAATTTCCTGAGATAGGAATGCAAGGAGCATGTTTTGCCACTCATGATAAGCCCTTTTCAATCATTCCTGAGTTTGTGCGAGTGAAGGGAACCTTATGGGCCCTTCAATAGTGTCAAAATGGGGCTGGTTCCCAGAATAAATAACTATGTGATTAGAAGTTTGAGATTTTCAGCTCTACTTCTTGTCTTTTGCTGTGTATGATTGGGGGGTTAGATCAGGAGAATGCAGACTGAATTGATCATCAGTGGTCAGTGCTTTAATCCGTCATGCCAACTGCAATGAAACTTCCACAAAACCCTAGTCAGAGAGGCTTGGAGGGCTGCTGAGTTGGTAAACACATCTATGTGTTAGGAGGGTGATGTCCCCCGCTACTCCAGGATGGTAAAGGCACCTATGCTTAGTATCCTTCTAGACTTCAACCTACCTCTTCATCTGAGTCCTTTGCAGTAGCATGGCATCACTAAACTGTTTTCCATGACTGCTATGAGCCACTCTAGCAAGTTAATGAACAAGAACAGGGGGTCATGACAACCCCTGGTTTTTTGCTGGGTCAGTCAGAAGTACAGGCATCCCAAAGCTGAAGAATGGCATCTGAAGCAGCAGTGGTCACGTGGGATGAACCTTTGACCTGTGGGTCTGATGCTCATTCTACGTAGTCAGGTTTGAAATTTGATTGAATCACTGTTGGTGTGTGGGAAGCTGGATAATTGGTGGTTGGAATGGGAAAATCGTACACATGGATGTCAGAAATGCTGAGCAGAAATAGATTTCATCTTCTTACTTCTCCTTTGAATTGGATATTATTAACTATATGTAAGGTCTGATTTGAGACACCATGCAGCTCTGGGGATGAGGCTGGTGTTTGTTGGGGATAGAGGGAAAGGAAACCAGGAAGGCTTTCAGAGTAGCTATGGTCAATGGGAACAGTACAACAGGGACATCCTACCTCTGCCCTTTAGTAAACCAGATCCAGTGAGTCTGGCTCTCTAGCAACTGTACTGTTCCTCCTTTCCTTGGAGAGGCTGGAGGGGCCAAAGGTGTTGGCAACTTCCTTCCCACAAGATAGACTGACAGCCTTTTGTTTATGGGCCAAGGAGGAAAAGCAGGATAAGAGAAAGGATCTGACTGAACTTTTACTCACTTTGGTTTTCAGAAGTGAGGAAAATGACCTCTTTCTTCCTTTACCCAGGTCAGTTTTAATCCCTTTGGCATCTTCTCACTATTACTTCCTTAATCCTTTAATTGTTCCACCTAGGAGGCTGCTGGGGATCACAACTGCTACTCCTTGGATCCTCTTTGCCTCAGAAATTATCTCCATCTCCCCCTTAGAGCAGTACCATATGCCTAAGTGGGGTTTGGGCAAAAGCCAAGAATGACTCAAGAGGTGCCATGATTCCATGTCATGGTTGAGCGCGATGCCCTTGTGTGAAATGCTCATGAAGAACAGACAGATGTCTAAGAGAGTTCACATTGTCTTTGCCTTTAGCCCTATTCATTTTTGGTGTACAGTTTTCTGCATCTTGCTGTTTTCACTTAGAGATATCTGTGTTACCTTGGAAAGAATTCTAGTGGTATTCTAAATGTCACAGGAAGCTACAAGAAGTTTTTGAACACAGAGGTGTGTCTCATTCTTTTAGAAGATTACTCCAGACCTAGTCCAACAGCATCTGTGGAGAAACACTCCTAAACCCTAGTTCCCCAAACTCTGCTCACACCTCCAGCTCTGACTTACACTGAGGACCTAAGCCTCAGTGCCCACTTCCCCATCCTCTCACTCTGCATTCCCCAATCACTCCCTACTCTCTTTGTACTCTCTTGTAATTCTTATATCTGAAGAACTGAGTTTCTTTTAACTCCATTTCTTTGAAGTTCCATTCCTTTGAGTTATATTTATTTCTTTCATTCTTGAGGAAAATCCTAATGGTTGTTTTCATATGCATCCATCGCAGGGAGTTTGCTACCTGCAAATAGACCCCCACCCCTCAGCAAACAAGTAAATATCAGAATCTTAGGAGTGACAGAAGATAATTGCCCAGCCATAGCAAGGGGTTTAGTGATCATTAAATTAATACTTCCTGGACTGGGAGCTCTTTATCACTGAGACCAGTTTCAATAATGGACAACCTTGACTTTTAAACATTTAAAAAGTTTTGCCTTGTAAAGGGTCATCATTTTTAGTCTCTGACTTATGAGGTATGATTAAAGAAACTACAGTGACTATTTACATTTAAAGAACACTTTGCCATGAAGTTCCCCCAAAAAACTCTCCCTCATTTGAATGCGCTCATCCATCATTCTTGCCACTTTCTGGAACAGTTCTAGAAGTCTTCTTTTGGGAAAGTCTTTGGTTGCCCTCTTGTCGTGATGACTCCATGTCCTGACTCAATATAAAATGTTTACCTTTCATGGTCATTTGACTTTGGGAAACAGCTGGAATAATCACAGGGCCAGATCTGGTGAATAAGGTAAATGGGGACACTAACGTTTTCACAAACCTACCTTTCCAGAGGGTGACACTCTGCAGCAGCTATCACTATATGTTTGCTCACATCCTTAAGATGTCTGTGAAACAAAACTTCCATTAACTGCTTCAGAAAGAGGTAAAAATGGTGGCAATAAAGTGTAGGGAGAGTTCTTTGTGGGGGTTTAATGGTAACATGTCTTTTACTGCAATATTTTTACTCTAAACATTCACTATGTGTTTTGATCACACCTTGCATACTTCCAAATCAGCGTATTCTCATTTTGCCTTCTTAATAACTTTTTTCTAATTTCCCCAAACCACAAAGGCTGTTTTCTCATAAAACATAACTTGCTCAGTTTTTAATTTTCACAGCTTCTTTGAGGTGTAATTGAAATGCAATATACCGCATATACTTAAAAAGCATAGAATGTGATGAATCTTTACTTACCTCTACAATTTTGAAACACTCATGACAGTGAAAACAGAGAATATCTCCAGTACCTCCAAAAGTTTCCTGTGCTCATTTATAATCTCTCCTTGCCACTCTTCCATTCCTGGAAAGATACGGTATGCTTTGATCACTACAGGTTAGTATATATTTTCTAGAATTCTCTGTGGATGGAATCACAGTTTGTACCCCTTCTGAGGGGTACAAACTAGTTACTTTCACTTAGCATCATTACTTTGAGTTGCATCCTTATTGTCATGTGTAGCTATAGTTCATTTATTTTTATTGATAACGTGTGTTCTATTGTATGAATGTAGCTGTACCATGATTTATTTATTCATTCACCATTTATTTCACTGGAAATGTCTGGATTCTATCCTTTGCTAGCTACTACACATAAGACTTTCTTGAACATCTGTGTACAAGGCCTATGTAGACTTACAGTCTCTTTGTCTTAGGCAAGCAAATACTACCAACTAGAATAGCTGGTCACATGGCAGGAAGTTGTGAAGTCGATTCCTATGAGGCTGTACCATTTTCCATTCCATTCCTACCGGTAGTGCTTGAAAATTCTGGACATACTCCAAGTTCATCAGTCTTTGGTATTGTCAGGATTTTTATTATTTTAACACCTATTTTTAAAATTCTATAATCTTATAATATACCATGCATATGTTAATTTTCCCCAAATAAGGATTTGTGGGAATCTGGCTGAAATTTTTGGTTCTTTGCAATTGCTCAGTTATATTCAATTATCAGTTCAACAAAGATGATTTTGTTCTAATATACAACCAAGCCCTGTTACGTAGGATACTTGCTTGAGGATAACCAGGACATTTTCAAGCATGACTTACTCTGTGAATTGTAACAGGTTGCCCAGTGAAGGGATGGAAGTCAGGGGGATGGAATACAATAATGTTTCCATACTGCAGAGAGTTTACTCTTATTTCTATATAGGAGGCTAGCAGCAAGTAGAAACGCAAAATCCCATTAATAAATTCCTTGTTTACCATATTGGAGGCTTGGTTATTTTGGGAGCCATTGAAGGATTTTGAGGGATGGCAAGACGTCATTGGAACCATACTTTATAGTGCTCACTCTGACAAAAATCAATGAAAAGGGTGCTCTTTCTCTTGATTCATAAAGCCTGTCCCCCTTTTCTCTTTCTTCTGTAGATTCTGTTGCATGGATTGAGAGTTCTCCTCTCTGTTTCGTGTTTCATGTATCTTTGCCTTTAAGAATCAAAATAATGGTGTCTGTGCTTGGGCTCCTGCAGCTATGTCTGTTACAGGATTGTGATTTTCAAGGTATCAGCTTGAAGAGTGTAGTGGTTGTTCTTTGTAGAAACAGCCTCCTCTTGGGCTGTCATGTGACCTGCCAGAGCCTTGCAGGGGTGCACTTTCCTAGAGTCTCCATCTGGTAAGATGTTGAGCAAAGCCACCTGGATAACAGAGGTAAAAATAAGCGGCCAGACTGGTTTCTCTCTCTCTCTCTCTCTCTCTCTCTCTCTCTCTCTCTCTCTCTCTCTCTGTGTGTGTGTGTGTGTGTGTATGCATGTGTGTCAAGACACTGAGCTGCTGAGCTGAGACACATGATACAGTTGCACCATTGCTAAAATAGTGAAAGCCTCCCATATTGGCTGGTAAATAGCAGTATTTCTGTGTATTTTTACTCCTAGGACCTTTGGTCTTATACAAAAAAGGTCCCAGCAGCTTGCTCTAATGCAACAGCTGGTATCCATCCCAGTTGGACTGCATCCACACCATGGTGGCTATTATGGTTATTAAAGATCATAACTTTACATCATCATCAAAAAACACAAATTAGCAGCCTAGCTAATGATTATGTCAGTCTGATCCAGTACATAGCCTGAAACAAACGAGTATCAACGGCTATGCTAGAGATATGACAAAAACACACTAGAATGTTTCTCTAAATTAGCATAAATGTTTCACCAATAAATTTGCAGTCTCTGAAAGGAAACCCTATCATGGAGAATCAACCAAGCAAATCAAAAGGAGCACTTGGTTCTAGATTACATTTTGTACAAACTTAAGTAATTCACTGTCAATTTCTAAGTCTGTGGATGAGTTTTCAGAGGAACAGTTGTTTTTCTTTTATCTTGACTATCAGTTCATTTGGAGTAACAGCAAAAGTAATTTTTTTGTTATTGCTAACTTCAATATAATTTTCATCATACTTGAATTTTAGATGCTGAAATTGCCCATAATTGTGCCTTCCCTATCTCTATGGTAATATGGACAATTATAATGGATAATCCCTTTGTTTTCCAGCCATTTGTTGATGCCTTTTTTGTTATAGGGATATGAAAACATAAGGCAATTTCACCAATTACTGGTAATGTTATTCAGATATTTAATTTATTTTCTGCATGCATAATCAGCCATAAATACATTTTAGCTAATGGAGATGACAAGGGTGTAATATAATTTGAGCCCAAACAAATTTGAAATAACATTAAGAAGGAAATTTAAAAAAAAACATGGGAAGGAACAGAATAAGGAACTCAATTCATCTTTAATATCTCTCATGCCAAATCTTCCAGTGTGGATCAGTTCTTTTAGCTTAAAAATAAAATGATGAAAGGGTCTAACACAACACATGGTGTGTAATAAGCACTTAATAAAAGTTGCTTTATTTCCTTGATCTCTAAAAACCCTAGTTGACTATGACAGTGTACTTGGTGTTTTTAATGAACTGAATATTTGTATCTCCCTTTTCTCAGTTCACATCTTGAAATCTAATCCCAAGTGTAATGATATACAGAGATGGAAACTTTCAGAAGTAATTAGTTCATAAAGGTGGAACCTTGTACTAATCACCTATATATCACTTTAATTAAATAAGTGAGATAATTTATAAAGAGAAAAGGTTCATTTGGGCTCATAATTTTAGAAGTTCCAGTCCACAATCATTTGGCTCTGTTGCTTTGGGCTTGTGGCAAGACAGCACATCACGGCAGGAGTACTTGGCATAACAAGATCATTTGCCTTGTTAACCAGGAAAGAGAGAGGAATAGGCTAGGGTCAGGCAATCTCCAAAGCACACCTTCATCTCTTAGAGATTGTACCCATCCCAATTATGCCACCAAGCAGACCAAGACTGTAATACATGGACCTCACGTAGATAAGTGAATGATGCCTTTGCAAGAGTGGGTGAGAGAATGAGTGAGTTTTTCTCAGCCATGTGGGGACACAGCAAGAAGAAAGCTGCTCACTAAAATACTGATAGGATTTTTGGTGCAGTTAGAAGACAGAATATAAAGTAAAGTGACCTTTATTTTAAGGATGTGGAGAGAAACTCCATGACCACCTGGGTCTGGCTTTCTCTGCCAGACACGTGGTGTGGTCTAGGGTGGTGCCTAAAGGGGCATTGCTGATGCCCAGGCAGCCCATTGGAATTCATTTTGCACCACAGGTAAATTGCCTAGGGGTGGAGAAAATGACCTCAAGATAAACGTCTCTTGGTCCCACCTCTCACTGCTGTAGTGTCCTATCTAGGGCAAAACCCTTTCAACACAAACCAGGAAGACAGTCTTTACTAGGCCCAGCATTTGTTTGTGCCGTGGACCTCCCAGCCTCCAAAACTGCAATAAGTGGACCAAGATGGTGGTGTTTCACCAGTGCCTGTTCCCTCCAGGTAAAGGGTCAAACCTCAGGGTGGAGAACATAGCTACCTACAAACCCCAGAGTCTTGGAATTACACTCTGAACCTGAAACAAGAAGAGGAAAAGTATTAACTTCTGCCTTTTCATCTCTAGGAGGTATCATGAACACAGAATCAAACCTACTCTGATACCACTGTGTCTCAGGACAAGGTTCTGAGCACTTACCTGGAAGGAGCTCATGTGTGGGTTACACTTACACTTAGGTTTCCTGAGTTTCCTAAACTCTGGTAAATCCAGGCAAATTTCTTCTTGTCTGAAAAGGCTCCCAGCAGCTGTCTAACTCCTCCCTAAAACCCTTCCTCTTCTAATGCTGATATTGCCAGGCAGGAGGAACTCATTTAGCTGCTAATCTGTCTTTAACACCTGCTAATCTCCATTTCTGTCCAAGAGACTGTGGAACAGATTTGGTTCCTGGCTATCTTCCAGCTGCTGTGGCACCACAGAGCAGGGAGCAAGCAGTCCTCAAATCTTGATGCCCTCTTATTTTTGTAATTCCAGGAAGGCCAACATTACATTCTTTCAAATTATTGTTGCCTTGCCCAGAGGAAAGTGTGTGAATGAGTTATGAGCATGAGGCATCCTCGGAAGGAACTTGTCATCTTCGTGTCACCTTCTTTCTGGCTCAGCAAACCTTCTGGGGATCCCAGTGGCTGGTGACTAAGCCTGGAGCTATTCCACTGTTTTAAAATAAAGGGAAAGGGTCACATTTGCATCCAGGAGCCAGGAAAGATATGAGCATTTGGGGCTTTGGTGAAGGAGTCAGGGAAAGCTCGGCAGTTATGGGGAGGATGTAGTAAGTTTTCAGATGTCAAGGCAGTTTTCCTTGCTTACACTCTGAAGGTAGTGGTGTCTGTCCATAGGCTCTTCTGGTAGCTTCTTCCTTTTGCTGTTTGCTCTTTTTCCCACATACTCTGACAAAAGGGTCATGATAGCTGATTCAGTTTTGAGACGTAGATTCATGTGTTTCAAGCCTGTTGGATAACTGTATGCCAAATAAGAATTTGTGGCTGCAGATTGCCACCCTTAATCGCATAAAATCTCAAAAGAAGTAAATGTCCATTTGCTTCTGGATAGTCTTGTTCAAGAACAGTGTTTTACATCGTGGCTACACAAGCCACTTGGTATTTGCACTTTGAGTTTGCTGTTTCCCAAGTAGAGGATGTGTATGATTGAGGGTGAGAAGGGCCTCTAAAGGATCCACTTATAATCTCGGTGTTGCCTGTGCCATCTAGCACAGCTGATTCCAAGCCTTGTGATCCTTTGAGACAGACCTAGAACAGGAATGTCCTAAGCAAGGCTTTTTAACAGACCATGGGATAAAGAAGCCTATGCTTATGTCAGGTCACTAAACTGAATCTGGTCTGCAGTTTAGCTCAACCTGAGCATTTTACCAGCTTTTGTTTGATTTGATTCACCCCTTCACATGATTTGCATATAAGATCGAGATATCTCTTCAGTAGGAGCTGGAATCTAAGTGCTCCAAGATTATCCCAGAGTCTCTGGGCTTCAGGAGCAGTTGCCAGATTTCAGAGTGGTAGTAACATTTTCTTGGCTCTACCACCCACCTGCCAGCTTGTTTGGCTTCTGGAGCATTCTATTTTTTCTCTACTTTTGCTTCCAGAGCTGGGGATATTTTTTAGTCCTGCTTTTTTGCTTCCAGATTTTCAAGGTGGCAACTGTACCTACCACATTGGACCAGAATATATTAGAGGAAGACTTAAACATATACATTCTTTTTCCTCCACTCTAGAGTGATGGAAGGCTTGAAATGTTTTGTGTTTTTTTCCTATTCCACTGTCCTAATTTGATTTTTGTTTAGTACAAGTCCACAGTGCAGAGGGAGATATTTCTTTTGCTCTTCCACCCTCTCCTTCCATTCTTTTTGCACATCAGGATCATCGCACAGGTAGCAATGATGCATTTGGTGGGGTTTTTCTCATCTGTTTTTGACACAAATTCCCAAGCAACAGGTAAGATCTGTGGATGTGTAAAAACTCGCTCCGTCACTGAAGACTCTTGCAATTCTTATGTTGATATCAGCTTTTTGTCACCATTGAAAAAATTTTTTAAGAAATGTGATGTTTTATAGTTCTTTTTTCCTCTCTAGTATTGCCAGGAATTAGGGCAGTGATGTCTTTCAGTCACATAATAGGCTTTTACTTTCTTGAGTATCATTCCTTTGGGTGTGAGTGTGTGCATGCACATGTGTATGTTTTCATGTCTTTGATACATCTAAACAGTCTGATTTTTTGTTTCTGGGTGGTGGCAACTATCTTTCATGGGTTTCATGTCCAGTGTAGAAGGAAACCTAGGGACTTTTTCCTCCTGCATTTCAAGACACCTTTTGGAACCAGCCCACACCAGAATTTGCAAGTCAATTTGAGTTACAGTACAAAATGAGTGGGTTATGCTACTTGATGTGGTACATTGATTAAAATAAAGGCTTCACTTCTTATCTCTATTTCCACAATGTTTTCAGTATTACTGGATAGCTCCTTTATTAAATGGATGCAATGTATTTCTCTACCCTTCATATCTGAGTTCATCTTGTTTATGAGTTTCTTAGGGCTATCATAACAAAATACCACAGACTGGGGTGCTAATCCAGCTGACATTCATTTCCTCACGGTTCTGGAAGCCAGAAGTATAAGATCAACGGGTGGTTAGGTTTGGTTTTTCCCAAGGCCTCTGTCTTTGGCCTCAGATGGCTGCCTTCTGGATTTTTCTGTTTATATAGCTTCTTGTTATCTCTTCTCAGAGGGAAGGTAAGTCTCTTGGGTTAAACCTCATCCTTATGATTTTATTTAATCTTAATCGCCTGTTTAAAGGTCCTCTCTGTGCTACCTCCATGTTGGGTCTTAAGAACTTCAACATGTGACTCTAGAGTGAGTGATCTAGTTCAGTCCATAACTCTTTGTCAGTTCCTGAGGACATTAGAATATGGTACAAGTGCCAACATGAAACTAGATCCCAACAGGCCTTGTGGCTTGTGCTTTCTTTGAATACTGCCAGCAAGCATGAGCTAGCTTGATGGATGTAGAAATTCATAGGGTTTATTGAGTCACCAGACAACAGTTTACCAATCATAATATAGGTAAGGCTTTGCTCCAGGCAATAACCTACCAATCACATTTCAGCAAGGATTTGGTCCAGCCAACCACCAACGAATCACAAGGCATCAAAGATTGTCCTGAACCAGCCCAAACCAGCTAAACTTGTCAGCTGACTGCAATCACCAGATGAAATGACCTCAGCTTCAGAATTTCTTTGCTCACCCATAGGGCCATAAGCAATCATATAAGCTTACTGTATTTTTTTTTTTTAAATTGGTACCGAACTCACGACAGCTTGCAAGGTAGGCGCTTATGCCACTAAGCTAAATCCCCAGCCCACAAGCTTATTGTTTTAAGCCATTGAATATTTAGGGACTTTGTTAACTTAGGAGTTGGTAGTCAATGTAACTGATAACTGCTTAAATTTTCTTTCTGAAAAAGATAATTATGATCATCCTATGCAAGAAGAGGAGATGAATTTTCTATAGTTCAGACAAAGTTGTTTGTAAGCATCCAGCCACATGCCTGTGATAAGAAGAAAACAGAATTACTCTTTTTCCCCCCAACAGCTTGAATTAGAGATCACTTGGAGGAAAAACTTTTTATTTGGAAAAATACAGTGGAAGCCTGCTTCTCTGATATACTTGGAACTGGTAGTTGGCTGGCTACTCTTGCAGAAGAATTTGAGTTGTTTCTTAGCCATAAGCTTTCCACCTTCTGTGGGCAGCAATCAGTATGCTTTTCAGATGAAATGGAGGGTGCTGGTAACTGTCATGAGGCAGTTCTGATGGGAATTGGTCAGGGGCACTGCTTCAGGGCACTTGCTTTGGTCCGCTATTGTGGGAAGGAAAAGACCTAAGTGGGTATCCTAAGAAGGAAAAAAAAAAGAATAATTAGGATCCATAAAACTGAGTTCCAAGTCCTAGATGTGAAAATAACGTCCTTTGTTCATTCATTCACACAGAAAATTTACTATATGTTTCCAAACAATCATGTTTTGAACCCCTTCTTGGGATCTCATTAAAATTAGGAACTCTATCATGTTCACCCCTGTGTGCCAAGTATATTATTGCCTGGTTGAGATTAGGTACCACCTACTGCTTGAATTTAGGAGGAAAAGGAACTCGTATCATTTGACTGAAGCATGGTAAAAATTAATTAATTTAAATTTGGAAGCAAAACTTTTTTTTAGAATGAAAACTACTATTGTTCAGGAAAACAGGCTCGCATAGACTTCTTGGGCTTGGAGAATGGGCAGGTGGTAAGGCATGATGGGGAAGGGAGCAGTGAAACAAAGAGATTGTGATAGGGGGTCTACAGAAAAGAATAGAAGTGACTTGGAAGTTATGGCTTGCATGGAGCATGAATAACTCACTGACTAAAACCAAGCCTATGAGGAAGAAGAAGAGAAAAGATAGGATTAAGCAAAATGGTTCATGAAAAATTCTGTTGTCAGGCAGATAGATTGATGGAAATTTTAGGTATAACGTGCTTCACTGATAGGCTTTTGACTGTGCCTTGGTGTCAAACCTTTTCTATAGTTTCAAACTTTTAGTAAAAGTGTCTGCACCTCAGGAAGGCTTGGTCAAGGGCTGTGGACCAGTGCAAAAATAGGTGGAGAGTGAGTTGATCCAGACTCAGGAGTCTCTTCTTAATTGTGGGAGTCTGAGCTGGAAGCAATCCAGCAACTATAACTACTTTTTCCCAACAGCTTCAAAGATCTTCAGAGATGGGAATCAGTCCTGAGCTTCTTCATAACAGATGGTGTGGACTTTGCCAATTTCATTTGAATTTCAAAGGAGTAGGTGAGTGTTATGGTTTGTGTCTATATGTCCCCTCCCACCCAAAGCCTTGTACAGCCATGCGAGTGGGTCTTTCCAGAAATAGTTTAATCTAGAGTTTGCTGTTGATTTATGGTACAGTGCTGGGATTAAGGGTATAAGTGCTACACATGCCCTAGGCCAGGTAGCTTGTATACAGTATAAGGGAGAAAAGGAGGGCTTGTCCTTCCCTTTTTGCTCTCACTGCTTTTGCTGTCTTTCATTGCCATGAATTGTGGCCCCTCTGCCATGTGCCACGCTGCCTTGGAGCCAGTAGATTATGGATTAAACTTCTACAAACTGTGCACTATAAAACCTTTATCCCTTTAAATTTGGGTGTCATGTATTCTGTCTGAGTAATGATAGAAAAGTAACTAAGATAGTAAAGGAAGGAAGCTAATATCAGGATGGTGTGAGATAGCACT